ATGAGCCCAAACCTCTTGACAGCCAAACACGTTGATGACATTAATATGACTGGGAAGGAAGATGCTATTGACAAGTATGTCAAGTGTGTTGAAGATACGTTTGGAAAGTGCAAACTGAACAAGCACACATACACAAACTGTGCCGTTCGGTACAACAAGACCGATGATGGGAGCGTCACTCTCGATCAGGACGAATACATCAAACAGCTTCGTCCTATCACACATCCAGAACTCACAGGCGCTGATCCTGAGAGCAAAGCGACAAAGACGATTTCTGATATGTTCGTCAGTCTTCGCGGCGCTCTAGCCTATGCGTTGATTACGCAGGTATGGCTGATGGTCTATGTTGTCTCACTACAACGTATCCAGGAACCGACAAACATCCAGGTACGACGACTAAACGCGGTTACCAGGAAATTGCAGGCAGGTCCGAAGAAGATCGTGTATCAAGCTATGACTCCAACAGGAGAAGTCGACCTGCATAGCGATTCTGGCTATCGTCGTCTCAACGGAGATGAAGACGACGAAGTCAAAGGCTATGGTATCCGCGGGGCTAACCTGCTGAGGCGTGGCCACACGCAAGCGGGGAAACCCGTCGTGCACCTGGTGGACGCATACTGCAAGTCTCATCGACTGCAGGTGCGTTCGAGCTACTCTGCGGAAACACTGGCAGCAGCCCACAACTTGGAAGACTGCTACCCGACCATTGTAACGCTCCACGAGCTACACTCGGGACCATTGACCCCCACACAGTTAAAGAACATATTGGAAATGGGTGGTCTATGTATCAAAGTCACTCTGACTATTGATGCCGAGTCTGTCTTCAAGTCTTTGTCTAGCAAAGATCTGAAGAAGCCCACAGAATGTACTCTGCTTGGGCACATTAGCTGGATCCGCCAGATGATGGAGCGCGGAATCGTTGAAAGCGTTCAATGGTGTGACACGCGGGATATGACTGCCGATGGTCATACCAAAGGTAGTATTGACCGCGCGTTGCTCCTACAAGTAATGGCCGGCCAGCAATCCTTCAAGCACGAGCTGAAGAAACATACACCGTATAGGGCGGGCAGGTCGTCTCAAGACGGCCCTGCCTCCCGAGCTAGCGGGGTAACCCGCATGCAGGTGCGCTTTAGTAGCGAGGAAACTCGCCGGTAGCGAGGCTACTCGCGCGCCCTTACCTTGTAGGCAGCCGCTGTTGCCGAGTACTGGTTTTTCCGCGTAATGTAGTAATGCGGTGCTCGCTCGTCTCCTCCCCCTCCGACTTTAAACGGAGAAGGTTAAAGGCGAGATGTATATCGAGCATGCACCGCTGCCGCGCCTGGCTCAAGCCGGGCCCGGCCAAATATATGACTGTGCCTCACCGAGGCGCACGACTTGTATCTGAGATCGGATAATACCTTTTCCATTGAAGATGCCCCTTCTATCCTTTACTCCAGATCCCATGCTTCGTCTCGCTCTCTTGCTCATGCGATATGAGCCAAAGCCTGGGATATGGCAACGCTTGAAGCGTAACGCATACCTAAGCTTACCAGTGCGTTTTCGACTGGTAGGGGGAGGGGTAAACCCTTCCCCGAAGGGGAAGAAGGAGGGGTGGAAGAGGAAACGCTCTAAACCACCGACGCCCAGAGGGCTGGTGGGATTAGGATTCGACCTCGTCATCACTCCTTGTGGGCTGCGATTTGCGAACCTGTCAGCACTTTCGAGTGCTGCTGGGGGGTCTTGATTAGTGACGTCTTACGCGGATTTACATTCGACCTCGCCATCCCTGAGGGCCTGCGATTTGCGACACTGTCGGCGCTCGAGGGAGCTGCTGGGGGGTCCAGCGGAGTGACGCCCCACGCGGGTTTCAAGGACACCTTGCGGACTTCAAGCCCGTTCGAGTTCTGCAAGCAGAAGATCACGCGGGCCGGCCACGTCACCTCCCACGCCGAGGTCCTGACGTCCACGGCCTGCGAGGGCCGCACCATGCAGCTGGGGAGTCATTGTCGACGCCGGTTGCGAAGACGTGCAGGCCCTTGACGCCTTCTGGGTGCACCTTTACGTAATGCTGTCTAATGCCACAAAAGTGACAAACTGTAGATGATGCGGGACCCTGGCCTTGATTTCCTTGCCCGAGGGCCGCCCGCAGATTTGGCGTCGCGCATACGGGCGTTTAGCTCCCGCAGTGACAGATACAGGAAGGAGGCCCAGAGGCTTGCGAACGAGCTAGGTATCGCTCGCTTCTTGCGCTAGCTGTAAGCAGATGCTCCTTTGGGGCGCCAGGGCGGCATGGTGCAGGCGACGCTGCGTGTCCAGCGTGTGATGGGAAAAGGTAAGTTGTCTTTATCATCCTGGTTCTTTCGTCGTCGTCCTCTTCCTTTTGCCGCCTTCTTTCTGCTGCTGCTGCTGCTGCTTGCTGTTGCTGCCGCTGCGGTGCTGAGTTATTGGCCCTTTTCGGTCCTGCTCCTGCCCCTCGTTCCCGCCCCCATTCGTCTTCGAGCCCAGGAATTCGTTCCTCGTCCTTCTATCGCTGTCCTGTGCGTGCCGCAACGTACGCGCCTCCCATGTACCCTGCCGGGCGAATGATGGCGCCTGCACTGGCGCCTGCACTGCCGTGGTCCATGTAAGTGTTGGCTAACTCTTCTTGCCACTTTATGCGACTCGGCTGGGTACGTCGCGCGGTAATTTCTTCAGGCGGCCTCAATGTTCATTGTGTCTTTATTGAATCGTTTCGCTCATTCCGCCGGCCCGTGATATGGCATCGCTGGTTTTTGTCTGCGTGTTCGTTGCCCATGTTGCGCTCTTGGGGGCGGGTGTCGTTCGGACGCGTTGCGTGGGGAGTTTTGATGGTGAAGCAGTTCCCTGGGGGTCGTCTCTCGATGGGGCGAAATAGAGTCGTCGTCAAGATGCTTCTTTGGGGGGCCTCTTGGGGTCTGTTGAGAGGCCGTTCGGGGGCGCCTGGGAGACATGTTTGAAGCCTTCTGGGTTTTTTTTTGGGCCTCCTGGGAGTCTCCTGGGGCCTCTTGGCGACATCTTGGGGCCTCTTGGAGGCCTCTTGGGGCCTCTTTGGGACCTCCTGGGCGCCTTCTGGGACGGAGGGCTCCATTTTTGAGTTCTCGGTATCCCTCCTGAGTCCCTCTTGGGCCCGTCTTGGGGCCTCTTGGTCCGTCTTGGGCGGCACTTGGGCCGTCTTGAGGGCTCTCTTGGGTCGTTTCGGCGCCGTCTTGGGAGCTTCGTGGGCCGTCTTGGAGCGGTCTTGGGGGCCTCTTGGGCCGTCTTGGAGCGTCCGGAAGCCGAAAAAGCCAGAACACAAAAAACATCGAACAAAACAATGAAAATCAACGATTTTGGCCTCTTGGGGCTCTCTTCGGAGGCCTCTTGGAAGGCTCTTGGGGCGTCTTGGAGGCCTCTTGGGCTGTCTTGGGGGCCTTTTGGGCCGTCTTGGGGTCATCTTCGGCGTCTTCGAGCGCTCTTTGGGCGTCTCGGGGGCCTCTTGGGCAGTCTTGGGGGCCTCTTGGGGCACTCTGAGCGCGCTCTGGGGAGCCTGAGAGGCCGCACCCAGAAGGAAAACCATCTCTGAGTAGACTTGGTCGGGCGTTGGTCGGGGTACTTTTCGCCGGGGGACCCCCAGGGGCCGCCCCGCGCGCGCGAACTAGAAATACTGTTAATACTGTTAACCAGTTACCGGAGATCTTAGCACGCCCTGGCCCGTTAGGCCGGCGAATTTCAGTATGAGCGTTTTCTTTTGATTCGTCAGGGCGTTCTCGCCCCGGCGGCTGCCACATCTTTATCCCTCGGTTGCGGACGACCGTTGCCCTCTCCATTTGACCGCTTCGATTGCCATTCGCACGTCTCGCGTGTTTTTCTACCCAGGGTTTCTTCTTTCTTTCTTTCTCGTTCTCTCTCTCTCTCTCTCTTTTGTGATCGCTTGTGTGTTTTCAGTCGTAACGTCTTCGGTCGTTTGGAGCAGTGCTTTCGTTTCGTTTCTACCATGCGAGCCCCCCCAGCCTTTTTCCCGCCATCTCCCGTTCCCCGGGTGCTTCTCTCACCTTCCTTCCTGTCCTACGTCGCGGGGGCTTCGACTGCCCAGTCAGTATCGTTGCGTTCCTTTTTTCGCACGGCGCGGCTCGACTGTGCGCGTTGCCGCTCCACCCATGCGTCGTAGGCTCCCTGCGCGCTTGTTGGTCCCGCCTTCGCCCCGCCCTTTAGGGTAGGTGACGGGTCAGATTCTGCAAATGCCGCCGCGGGACCAAGGTCCGATGCCCCCGCCGACTTGGCGAATAAAGGTCATGATGCATGGGTGGGGAAAGAAAAACGTCAATGGCGCCGGCGTGTTTGGTTTGCGTTTCCTTGTTTCCCCTTTCCATCCCGTCCCCCCTTTTTCGACCACAAAACAAACAACACCACCCCACCTACGCCCCTCCATGTTGCGCTACGGCCCTACGGCCCATGTGGGGCCGTAGCGTTTACCACGCAAAAGCCCGCGCCAGATTTAGTGGTATACGCTAAGCCTCGTGGGGCCGTAGGTGGGGTGGTGTCGTTTGTTTCCTGGTCCACCCAAGGGAGAACTGGAAAGTCGGGAAAGTTTCCGGCCCTTCAAGCTGTTTTCAGTGGAAGCCTGTTCCTTTTGAGTATTTTGTTGTGTCGTTTTCTGTTCAGGTCCCTTCTTCGCTCCGTTGCCACACCTCTCTCCTTCTTTCCCCTCGCCAGTATTCTCCCGCCTCCGGCCTCCCACCCCCCTCTCCCCCTGCATCGTCCCCGTCGTGCCTCGCCTCGCCCTTGCCCCGACCGGACCCGCCGCTCCTTGCCTCCTCGTTCTGGCTACACGGAGTGACTCTTCGCCGGAGGGACCTTCTGGTGCGGACCCACTGGGGTCTTCGAGTCGCCGAAGGCGATGCGACAGTTGCGTCTGGCGCGCTTGTGGTCGGTCCCCCCCGCGGCCCCCAAAAGGCCGCGGACCAGGGGTCACTCTTGCCCAGGTTCGCTCTGGCGGGGAGTCGATCGTTCCCTTCCCTGCCGAGGCTCCGGGCGAGAGCCGTGAGCGCTCCAAGAGGAGGAGCCTCGGAGAGTGGTACGGCGGCGACCGGAACGACGCTGCGCGGGGCGACGAGGGCGCCGAGGAGCGGCCAGTGCTCAGCAGGTGGCCTCGGCCCTCTCCTCTCTGCTAATCGGGCTGGGGCCGGGAGGGCAGTCGAGCAGTCCCACCCAGCTTCTCTGGTGCTGGGCCGCTCCCTGGGCCGTGGCTGTGCGCTCTCGATCCGTCTCCGATCTCCCCCCCCCTCCCCCCTGCCCCCCACCCTCCGCCCTGCCCCCCACCCCTCTCTCCTCCCACTCGTCCTTCCCCCTCCCCCTCTTCTTCTCCACCACTCCTTACCAGCCACCTCGCGGTGGCGTGGCCATCGGATCCTGGCCAGACCTTCCTTCTCCGGGCGCCGCCGTGTGCTGAGCTCACTGCGCGCTGTCTATCGTTTCTTGCCTCGTCGTCATCCTCAACATCGTCCTGCTCCTTCCTGACTTGTCCTCCTCGATCTCCTTGCCCTCTTGATGTGTTGTCCTCCTCCTCGTCGCCCTCCTCCGCCCATCGCGCCCAGCGCGAGCAGCACCTCCGTATCTGTTCCCCTCTCCGCCTCCCTTCTGTGCGCCCGCGCCCCTCGCCGCCAGGGGCGCGACCGCCGTCTTCGCGATGTCAAGGGGTGCCTCCAGGCTCGGCGACGCGGGACGGGGGCTGGACGGGAGGGGCTTGCTCTTCCTGGGGGCGGCCTCCTCTCCTCCTGAAGAGGCGCTCGGAGGTCTCTGCGAGGCTCGTGGGAGGCTCCCGAGGCCTCTTGCCAAGAGTCTGGGCTCTGAGAAGGGTGGGCCCCTCTGGTCGCCCCCCCCCCCGCTCGTCGTCAACAGGCGCACCAGCGTAGCCACGGAGGTCTGCGGGGACCTCGAGGAGGAGCATGAGGCTGAGGCCGCTGCTGTTGCCGCTGTGACGTCCTCCCCCTTCACAATTACACAAAATGAGTACTACTTTCCTCTTTCACCTGATGACGTCCGGAAGATCTCCGCCCCCCCTCCGCATACGTTTTTTTGGCACAGGATTCCCGGGAGTTTTTTCTGTCCCAACCATCCTGTGGTGTTGGGTTCTCGTTTTGAAGAGACGGTCCCCGCGTTCCTTCCTTCTTTCCTTCCTTTCTCCTCTCTCTCCGTCCTTCCTCCCTTCCTCCTCCCCCTCCGTCCTCCTCCCATCCCTTGCCTCTGCTCTCCGCATGTCTTCGTCGTCGTCTCCCCCACCCAGCAGGGCAAATCGTGGCCCCAGGGGGAGCTCCACCTAAGGCCCCAGTGGCGGTGTCAACGTGCGTCTCCCCCACCCAGCACGGTTTTTCGTCGCCCCACATTGAGCTCCACCCAAGGCTCCAGTGGCGGTGTCACATTCCCCCACCCATCACAGCGTTTCGTGGCCCCATAGGGAGCTCCACCGAAGGCCGCAGTGGTGGTGTTCACGTGCGTCTCCCCTACCCAGCACAGCGTTTCGTGGCTCCGTAGCGAGCTCCACCTAAGGCTTCAGTGGCGGTGTCCACATGCGTCTCCCCCAGCCAGCACAGCGTTTCGTGGCCCCATAGGGAGCTCCACCGAAGGCCGCAGTGGTGGTGTTCACATGCGTCTCCCCCACCCAGCATAGCGTTTCGTGGCCCCAGGGCGAGCTCCACCTAAGGCCGCATTGGCGGTGTCCACATACGTCCCCCCCACCCAGCACAGCGCTTCGTGGTCCCATAGGGAGCTCCACCTGAGGCCCCTGTGGCGGTTTCCACATGCGCCTCCCCCACCCAGCACAGTGTTTCGTGGCCCCATGGGTGGCACCACCGAAGGCCGCAGTGGCGGTGTCCACATGAGTCTCCCCACCCAACACAGCGTTTCGTGGCCCCATAGGGAGCTCCACCGAAGGCCGCAGTGGTGGTGTTCACGTGCGTCTCCCCCACCCAGCACAGCGTTTCCTGGCCCCGTACGGAGCTCCACCTAAGGCCGCAGTGGCGGTGCCCACATGCGTCTCCCCCACTCAGCACAGCGTTTCGTGGCCCCACAGGGAGCTCCACCTTCGGCCCGAGTGGCGGTGTTCACATGCGTCTCCCCCGCATAAGGCCCCTGTGGCGGTGTCCACATGCGTCTCCCCCACCCTGGACAACACAGCGCTTCGAGGCCCCATAGGGAGCTCCACCTAAGGCTCCAGTGGCGGTGTCCACATGCGTCTCCCCCATCCAGCACGGCGCGTCGTGGCCCCAGAGGGAGCTCCACCTAAGGCCCCTGTGGCGGAGTCCACACGCGTCTCCCCCACCCATCACAGTGTTTCGTTTCGTAGTTCCATGGGGAACTCCACCTAAGGCCCCAGTGGCGATGTCCACATGCGTCTTCCCCACCCAGCACGGCGCGTCGTGGCTCCATCGGGAGCTCCACCGAAGGCCGCACTGGCGGTGTCCACATGCGTCTCCCTCACCCAGCACAGCGCTTCGTGGCCTCATGGCGAGCTCCACCTAAGTCTAAGGCTCCAGTGGCGGTGTCCACATGCGTCTCCCCCACCCAGCGAGTGTTTCGTGGCCCCATGGGTGGCTCCACCGATGGCCCCAGTGGCGGTGTCCATGTGAGTCTCCCCCGCCCATCACAGCTTTTCGAGGCTCATAGGGAACCCCATCGAATGTTCCAGTGGCAAAGTTCAAAGTTGGTTAGCATTTCGTGGCCCATCGTAGACGATACCGAACACGATACCCACAACGGCTTTACTCACATCTGCATCTGGTTGACCCTTCGCCAGGCTACGTGTTTGCTTGTTTGTTTTCTTATCAAAACTTCGCTCCCGCTGAAGCGCTGGCCTCATGTTCGGTCTTCCGCTCGTTCCGAATCGTGCTCCCGCTGCAGCACTGGACTCACTTCCGCGCTCACGCACGTTCCGAATCGTGCTCCCGCTGCAGTGCTGGCCTTCCTTCCAAATGGTTCCAACATCTAGAAAATACACTCCTCGAGCAACCATCGGAAGTAATCCACATTCGGTGTCAATCGTGGGTCTTTTGGCTCCAGAACCCCCTAGTATTTCGGGGCGTCGTTGTTTTAGGAAGTATCAAGCGGGATTCCCGTTTCTGCAGCAGAAACGGGGCTCTGATCTGAAAGCAGAGATTCTGCCTTGAGAAGGCGATGTTGAAAGTAGAGCCAGCGGGTGTTCTCCATCAGCCCAGCCTTGTGTGGAGCTTTTAGGAGAGCCCGAGGAGCTCGACATGGACCCACGACTCCAGACCGACCCAAACCTGTCGAAAACGACCCATTTACCTTCCAAGAAACCTGGCGCCATGCCATGACATGCTGTGCGGTGTTGTGTTCTGCGCCTCTGTGCGATGCCATGCTTTGCGTTGCAATGCTTGCACTGCTTTGTGAGGCAATGCTTCACTCCGCAGCGCCACGCCATGCTATGGCATGCTACGCCCTGTCGTGCTTTTCTACGCCATGCCATTCCGTGTTCCACCATTCATCGCGTACCTTCTCGCGATCCCTGCCCTGCTCGGCATCCGACGGTGCGAATAGAGAGGATACCCACGCCATGGTAATGGATGGGAGGGAACGGTAGGACGTCATATATGATGCGAGGGCACCTAGCTTGCCTTCCCCCCCTCGCCCGCGTCCTTCCCCCGAATCCTTCCTTAACACTTCGTGCTCCCTCTCCCTTCCCGTCCCCCTCAATCACCTTCCCGCTTGTGGATAGAGGGCGATCGGTAGTCTTTCCCTGGCCTTGGCAACGCGATGCGTAAATTGTGATTGGTGGTCAAGGAACAGAGTGCCGAAGTCAAGCCTCCAATGTTGTGGGAACTTCACAGTATGTGTGCCGTGTCGTTGTATCTTTGCTTCGCTGGTTGATACCCTAGACGTTTTGAGTGGCATGTGCGAACATCACCCAGTGGATGTGCGATGATGTTCTGCCTGCTTTGCAGTATTGGTCCCGCTTCTTGCGATCGTGCGAAGCGTGTGCGTCAGTTGCGAACCAATTGTGGGTGATCTGTGGTTTCCTACGAGGTAGCATGGTGCACCAGTCGGAGCCAATCTCTAAGCATTTTCCAACATCGCTTGCAGGAGAGGCGAGGTTACAGACGGCACCATCATATAACCACACGCTGGGAGCAGAAGTCCCTGAGCCGCATGGTTAACTCGTGTGCAAGGTATTTTGTCTCAGCGCATACGGGAGACCACATCGGACACCATACAGGAATCCACACGGGAGATCATATGAGAGAGCGCTCGGGAGATCCTACGGTAGACAGTACAGTACCATATGGGAGACCAGATCGGAATACCACACCGGAGACCGTGCGGGAGATCATGCGGGAGAGCAGAAGGGATGCCATACGGGAGACCCTACGGGAGCCCATGTGGGAGGGCACACAGGTGATCACACGGGAGACCATGCGGGAGACCACACTTGGAGACCGTACGAGATACCACGCGGGAGACAGGGGGACGTTTTAGACGCGTCGTTGAGCCTGCCTGCTGGGTAGTCGAAGGCCAGACTGTCAGATTGGATTGGGCCCCAAGGGCCAATCTGGCCCGGCCAAACTGGATGATTTGGGTTATTCGCCAGACTGGATTCGCGTTGGCTCCCTCGCCAGATTGCCCCCGTTTGCCAGATTGGGCCTGCCAGATTGGCGCCAGATTGGTTCCAGCCAGCAGGAGGTTAGAGAAGGTGGGCAGGCGTGTACAGATTTTGTCCTCTCCCTTCTGGGCCGCTCAAAGTGCGCAGATGTTGCCTTTCCATCCTTCTAGCTGGCTTTCCTAGCGCCCACCCCGCGTACATCCGCCAAGCGTCTTCCAGTTGTGCGGGATAAGCAACTCTAGTGTAGGGTGGTCGCTGCTAAACATCGACCAGCCTTGGCGATCATGTCGGGGGATAGAAGATGCGGTCGGCTGACCTTCGGGTGGGCACCTCGGCATGTTGTTTTCTTTGCGACGCTTGCAGGTGGCTTCCACTCCACCCACGTCCAATTGCGTGTCGCCGACGTGAAGATCGGGCTGCATCTGCTCCACTCGTGTGTGAGCCTGCTCAAGCAGGACCCTCACCTAGATCCATGCTGTGCCTTGCCTCGTCTTGGAAGCTGACGTCAGGAGGACGTCGTGACAGGCGTAAGGGCCGCGTAACAGCGCTCTCCCAGAGATCTCCCATAGGTCTCCTCCTCTGGTCCTCTGGGAGGTCTCTAAGGTCTCTGGGAGGCCTCCCCTGGTCCTCTGAGAGGTCCCCAAGGTCTCCCCTGGTCCTCCTGGTCCTCTGGTCCCCTCGGGAGGTCTATGGGAGGTCTCCACGGAGGTCCACCAGACCACCCTGGTCCACCCAGAGGTCTCTCCTCTGGAGGCGTCCTCTGGCTCTCCCGTAGGCCGCTTGGGAGTGCTTCTCTGGCCCTTTTGGGGTGTCTCCCAGAGGACCAGGGGAGGTCTCCTGGAGGCCTCCCCTTGTCCTCCTGGAGACCTCCCAGGAGGGTTCTGGGGATCCTCCCTCTGGGACCTTCCGGGACAAGAGGTTCCCCGGTGAATCTCTGGACTGGCACAGGAAGCCTCCTCCAGGAGACCTCCAGGAGGCCGGCCTCCCCTGGCCCTCCGGGAGGTCTCCCCCTCCTGGAGGCTTCCGTAGGAGGCGGAGGAGGAGGAGGCGGAGGAGGAGGAGGACCAGCATGGACGGCTAACGGGACAGCAACAGAGGGACCAGCGATCGGGGACCAGGCGAACGGCCCCCTATGTGTTTGAGAACTAGGATATGCGGAACATTGGGAACACAAACGGTGATTGTTCAATAGGGGGCTCGCGAACGGGGCCCACGAAGGGGGGCTCTGGCGATGGGTGACCAGGCAAACCGCCCAGGCCGCGTCTGAGAAATCAAGGAAAAATGATGAGCGCCCCCCCCCGCAACAAAAAAGAAGACATCTCTGCGGGGGCCCCTGAGCATTTTGGCCCAGCTTCGCTAAAGCAGCACGGGCGGCGACTCGGGCGAATCTCGAAGCGCGCCCGGTCGACTGCTTGGCAAGGGCAGCCGCGCAGCCCGCCCACCGCTCAGTCTTCCAGCGCCTCCCGCCTGTGAAGAGAACCACCGAGCTCCCAGGAGCCTCTGGTGGTGGAATGTGCTTTTCCAAGAGTGAATCACCACCCACCAAGCGACCCCAACCCAACCCGAAGGCCTCAATTTGCCCTCCATTTCCGGTTGGGGGGGGGTCGGGGAACATCGAGAAAACACCTATGGAACCCGTACCCCCCCCAACCCGAAATTCGGGTCTTCGGGTTGGGTTGGGGTGGTCTGGTAGGTAGTCAGTGAAGTGCCACCAAGGCTTCCAAGGGTTTCTGGGGGGAAGCCTTTACACGAGTGAAGTGTCACCAAGGTTTTCCAGGGGCCGTCGGCGAAGATAGAGTATTACTCGAGTGAAGCGATATGAGGCTCCCACGGGATCCTGGTGACGGGGAAAACTTCCACGCGAGTGGAATACCACAAAGGTTTCCAAGAGTTTCCGGTGCCGGACACGCTTTTACGCGAGTGGAAAGCCAGAGCGTCTCCCAAGGACTCCTGGTGGTGAAATTGATCTTGCACGAGTGAAGTGCCACGAAAGCTTCCAGGGATTCTCGGTGATGGAAAGGCTATCACGCGAGTGCACTGCCACGACGGTGCCCAACGGCTCCCAGTGACAGATAGCTGTTTTACTCGAGCGGAGTGCTACCACTGCTCCCAAGATATCTTGGTGACGGAACAGCTTTTGCGCGAGTCGGGTGCCATCAATGCCTTCGAGAGGTCCCTGTGACAAAAACACTTCTCTGCGAATGAAGCACCGCCAAGGTTCGAAGAGCTTTTTCGTGGTGGGGTTGGGCAACGTTTTTACGCGAGTGAGTTGTCACCAAGGCTTCCAAGGGCTTTCGGTGACGGAAACAGGTTTACGTGAGAGGAGTATCACAAGCGTTCCCAGGAGCTCTTGGTGGCTTGATATGTTTTTACGCGAGTGGAGTGTTACCAAGGCCCCGCAACAGCTTCGGTGACGGTTTTTGATTGACGCGAGTGAAGTGCCACCAAGGTTTCCAAGAGTTCCTGGTGATGGAGAAGCTTTCATGCGAGTGGGGTGCCACCAAGACTCCCAATATATCCTGGTGACGGACGATCTCTTTTCGCGAGTGAAGTGCCACCAGGGTTTCGAAGAGCGCTTGGTGATTGGACAAGCTTTCAGGCCAGTAGTACCAGCAAGGTTCTCACGAGCTCCCGATGACGGGCACATCTTTTGCGCCCGTGCAGTGCTACCAGGGCTCCTAAGAGGTCCTTGTGACGGAAGGTGACTTCCCGCGAATGCAGTGCCATGACGTGAGGGCGCTCTTTTCGTTCCCGTGCCCATCACGCCGTCCGGCGACTTTTTCAGCCTCTCGGGCGAATCTGCCGTTTTTAGGCCGGGGGGCCAGGTCATCATGTCACCACCCACCAAGCGACCCCAACCCAACCCGAAGGCCTCAATTTGCCCTCCATTTCCAGTGTGGGGGGGTCGGGGGACATTGAAAAAGCACATGGAACCCGTACCCACCCAACCCGAAATTCGGGTCAAATTCGGGTCTTCGGGTTGGGTTTGGGTGGTCTGGTAGGTAGTCATCATGTGGAGTGAAAACGGGGCGGCGCCCGGGCCCAGTCTTGAGCCACTCTGCAGGGTCATCCACTGTCACCCTTTTGGCGTTCCTGTCGGCTAATGACTCGGAGGTTGATAGACCTCCTACCCTGACACGTCGATTAGCGAATTGGCCGTTTTCGATTCGCGAGAGGGCGTCGCGGCCGTCATTTTTGCGTGTCCAGGTCCGTCGGTTTCGGTCTTAGGCCGCTTTCACTAAGGGGTGGTTCATTAAAGGGAGGTTTGTCCACCGCCGAATGATGGGTACCCTTGGCCTGAAGCCTGAAGCCTGGGGCAATTGGCCGCCCAGCTTGCTTCTTACCATCCTTGCTCTGCTCAAGTTCCTAACGTTTCCTGCACGCAAGATTGAGTCCATGTCCAGCGCCTTGCTTAATTCTGAGCAGGTGGCTGGAATATCGACGATGGTTCGATACAGTCATGGCGATTGAGACAAGCATGAGTCATATTCAATCAGAGCTTGAACTAATGTGCGGCGCCACCAATGTCCAGCATGAGGGCGAGTAGGTTGATGTACATTGCTATGTATGCGTGCAAGCATGCCATGCGTCATGGACCTCGCTTCTGCACTGCTGGCCAGGATGCTGAGGACGTCGTTCCTCTCTGGCTTGCCGTCGAGAAACTGACGCTGACCGCTGGCCACCGTGGCTTTAGACTCAGTGGAGCTTTTCCGCCAGCGTGGTGTCTCCAAACCTGGTCCCCCTCGAGCGGCTGTCCGCCCGTGTTGGACCCCCCCCCCCCCCGAGGTGCACCCCTCGAGGACCCCAGGGGCTGGGGATGCCTCCCTGCCGCCCAGCCCTCCGCAGAGCCCTGGCGTGGGGTCCGCGCGACACCCCGAGGGGCCCAGAACAGTGAATCACCGTTTGTCGGGATTCGCCCGACAATTGCCGCACTCTGGCGTCGACGATGGGTATGCTCACGAGGCGTCCAGAGACGCTTCTCTTGTGCCAACCCAGAATGCCCCCGGGCGGCCCCTGAGAGCCCCAAAAACGGCTGTCGGAGAGCCCCAGCCAGCCCCAAAACAATGCCCGTGTAGGGCCCCAGAGAAGGCCGAGACCGCCCCGTGGTACCTACACACGGCCCCAAGCGGGCCCAAAGACTTCTCCAGACGGCCCCCGGGCGTCACTCTCCGGCCCTAGCGGCCCCCAAGACGGCCCTTGAGACTCTTCTTTCCGTTCTTCTCTTCCCATCGAGCGTTTCACCAGGAAGCTGCCTTGTGTGTTCCCGGCTACCGCCAGCTTCTCGCCACTGCCCTGGTGTCAGCGCCGAGCGATGGCTCCCCTGCCCCAGCGCGACAGACAGCAGAGTGCCAATGTCGTGCGGAGGACTCGCAAAGTCGCCGACGGGAGCGGGCAAGGCAGGGGAAGAGTGAAGGAGAGGGAGGGGAGTCATGCTGCTGGGGTGGGGGCGGGACAGGGTGAAGTTCCGAGGGTGTGGGCTTGCGTCCAGGGTGGACTGTGTGAAATTTGCTCCCCTCCTGTCCCTCGGCTCTCCTCCCTGATTCCTCTCTTCCCCCTGCCCTCGCCGTCGCAGCCCTGGTGCCGATGCTTGCAGCGGCCGACCCGCCGCGCCCGTCCCCGACGGTAAGCTCCTCTGCCCCAGTGCGGTGGGGCCGGGGCCGGTGGCCGCGTGCGGCGGGGTCAGGGCCGGTCCGCTCGCGTCGGTGGGGCCGCTCGCACGTCGCACCTTCAGAGGGCCGTGCTCCGCCGCAAGCGCTGCGCACTCCGCCTGGCCGACGGCCGCCGGAGGACGCCGCTGGCAGCGGGTCTGCAGCCTCGGCTGCCAGTGATCCCGCGTGGGAGGCCCTGGACTTGTGATGCTCCAACCTGCTGTAGCCTCGATCACCAGAAGTAATTTCGAGCACCAGGAGAGCACCGAAACTCCAGGGCTTTCACGCGTCGGGCCCTGGGAGGCGATGCTCGGTCGACACTTCGGCAGCGTGTGGGGCAGACGCTGCTTTGACGCTTTTCTCGGTGCTGGGAATCATTTACGGGATGCGGTCCTTAAGAGCGATGGGGAAATCATAACCCTGGACTTCCATTCGGTTCTTGGTGTCGCGGCAGGATTTCAAGGTGAGCTCCTGGCATGCGCACGCCAATTGCCCCATATCTGCGGCCGTCGCAGCCCAAAGCTCCTGGAGTTTGACGGCGCTTTCAGGATGACAACCTCGCGATAGCGAAAGTGGGAAGGGCGGTTGGGGCGATTGCTCCACATGTCTTAAGAAAGGGGAGGCGGTCACAACCCTCCCAGACGAGCAGTTTTCGACCCCTCGACCAGACCAGCCACGAAAGGGCGGTCTTTTGCCCAGACCCCCAGGAACCCTTGAAGGGAGCTCAAAGTACCCCACCACCCCAAATCAGACCTCGCCCACACTATTACGGACTGGGGAGTAACAGTCTCAATCGGTTCACCGATGCTGATCTTTCGCTTGTCGTGTTTGGCCAGATAGATTGTCGCGCCAAGTAACCAATCAAGATCATGGAGCCAGCGATGCTACACTTTCAAGGATCGTTCGGACATTCGACGATGCGTTCGAGAAAATGGACCACGGCTGTCTGTGAACGGGGGAAGTTCCAGAATTACCGCAGGTGTCCTGGTTTCGCACTCTACCTGCAAGGAGGAAAGACTGGTCTACTCTGTAAGAACGGTTTTTTGAAGGCAGATCTGCCTTCAAAAAACCGTTCTTACAGAGTGGATCGTTCGGATATTCGACGATGCGTTCGAGAAAATGGACCACGGCTGCCTGTGAACGGGGGAATTTCCGCAGGTGTCCTGGTCACCGAGTGGCATGTTCGTGCGCGCATCTGCCTGCGCGCCTGGAGCTTCAGCCTCAAGATCAGACGACGGTATCAGGTTGGTCACCAAAATGCTGCGCGACTCAGTTTTCTCTTTGAATTCAAGGGCTTAAAAAACGCCCCTACCCTGGTTTACGAGGCGCTGCGCGCTGAACCTCCTGTGGGCTGACGGGGTAAACCCTGCGTGATGTGCCGCGTCCTGGCGTCTCTAGGCTTTGGGGGTTTCCAGGAGGTTTGCAGACCACGCACTTGTAACCCAGGGTAGGGTCGTTTTTTCATCCCTGAATGAGTAACGCTAGTGGTGGTCTCTTTGGAATTCGAGTTCGTCTTGGACTTTCCAGAATACGCAAAGTTGCGCGTTCACACGTAAAGGTATTCCAATCAACGTGAGCCTGACTTATAACACTGTCACTCTGCCCCGACACCGGGGCTTGCAGTCAAGAAGCCATGCGCCACGAGTTGGACACATCATGCCCTGCATTGAACGCTTCGTTTGCTAAGGAGTCCGCGAACATATGGGCCACCGCGCAGCGAGTGCCTCCATCTTCAAGTGCACGAGAACCCAGCCACACTTGCTTGCAGAGTGGCCAGAGCTCCGGCGACGCGCATGCCCGCTTCATGGCGCTCACAGGCGTTCGCCGAGCGCGGGACACCCAGGGGCCCTTCGAGCGCTGACTGGGCCCACGAATCTAAGCGGCTGCAGACTGTGCTTCAGGCTGAGGAGCGCTCATTGCTTCTTCGCCGTTCGAGATTTACGACTGCAGAGCGAGCACTGGCACCCCGCCCCAGCAGCGACACGCCGGCAGCGGCGCTGGTGGCAGGTCCAGCAACGCAGCATCCGCCACCCGTGTCCGCTCCATGGTGCGCAGAGAGGAGCATGGGATCGCCAAGCACACTGCGCAAAGCATATACGCATCCTTGAAACGAGTTCTCTTCCGCCCAGGAGGGGCGGGCTGAGGGGGGGATGGGGGAACGTGGTCTGCTCTCTCCCTGTCACACGAGAGCGTTGCCCCGCTCGCCCTCCCTCTTCCCCTCAGTCCCGTGCTGCTCCCTTCCACACCCCCCCCTCCCCCTTGCCTCCTCTGGGATGTATTTCCTGTGATGTTCGAGTCTGAATTGGCGCTGGTATACCCCTGGTTGAAAGCTAGCCTAGCTTGCTCGAATCCCGAACAATCTGGCCTCATTCCGTTCAAGCTGGCCCAATCCCGCTACGTCCACCTTAGAAGCCCTGGGCTTCCTTCGGCTCCATGGCTTCTCCTTCGGGCTCGGCAGCCCTCCCGCGCTCTGCCGAAGACCTCCCAGAAGTTGCCTCCCGACTTCCCCGCCCCCCCCCCCTCTGCCCGAGGTGGCCCTTTGCTGCTGGTTGGCCCCGGGGGGAGGCTCTCCTCCTCCTCCTCCTCCTCCTCCTCCTCCTCCTCCTCCTCCTCCTCCTCCTCCTCCTCCTCCAGCCGTTTCGAGGCCCACAGGGGGCCATAGTCAATCGCGAACTCTTCGGAACGGCCTTGCGATTGCGAGCTAATTTTATGTTTCCACCATTCTCCACTTGCTGCAGCCATGGCGGCTGCTGGTGGCAACGGCATTGCTGGCCGCTGGCGTCGGGCAAGGGGTCTCCAACCATCGCTCCCACTGTTTCCTGATTCACAGTTTCAGCAGCTGCCTGAAGGACAGCGACAGCAAGGGGGAGCATCCTCTCAACCAAGGGTTCGTGAAGCCTTGTAGGAATATGAGTCTTGCGGCTGCCGCAAGAACCGCATGTCGTGGTGGTGGTGCAAGCGCTGCAAGGCGCCGTGGCAAGCATCGACTACATTGCCTACTGGAGACGCTGGAGGAGGTGCAGCTGGAGGTGCGGCGGCTCCAGCTTCAGGGGACGGAGGCGGCAACACTGCCTCTGCCAAACCCTAGCTCGAGAATGGCACCGACAAGCTCTCCCCTGACGAGATCGACGAGCTCGCCAGCATCATGGAGAAGGGGGGGGACGCAGAGGCAGCAACCATGTATCGCAAGGAAGCTGCTGCCCGACGTGCGCCTGTCATTGTGCCCCCGATTCAGACTCAAGTCCATTAAACCTTTTCTAGGTTACGTGTTACCGAGAAGCAGTTGCAACCAGCAGTTGCGAGGCTTGAGGGGCAGCAGAAGGCCATGGTCAAGCAGCGGGAGCTCGTTGTGGAACTACGTGCCGAGCTGGGTGCAGCCGAAGACTCCCACAAGCAGTTGGTGGCCAAGCTATCCCAGAGCGTTCAAGCCCAGCCTCCTGCTCCTGCAGTCCTGTCGGTCAAAGACATCCTTGAGGGTAGCCGATAGCAGGCCCTTGTTGTGGACGCTAACTTCTTCATTTGGGGTCTTGCTGTGCCCGTGGAAGCTGACGCCAGTGGAGGCGTCGTGATTATGGTGCCAGACTGGCTTGGCCTGTTCGCGACTAGTGAAGGCGCAGTGGTCAGCCCTGGTCATGCGATGTTGGCCAACGTCCTGGTCCCAGGCGGGTTCACCTTTTCTGTTGGAAGCGTGCACCTCTACCGTGTTGAGGGACTTCCGGAGCAAAACGTGGACGTGTTGGCCTCGTTGGGCGCGAGGTGTTCTTCTCTTCAGGGTTCGTTTGTCTTAGGGGGGGGGGCTTCCGCGTGCCCGCTGGGCCCCCCTCCCTGTCTGCCAATTTCGTGAGTAAGCTCCGGGGGCAGTTAGCTGCCTCTGGCGATTTTGCCCACTTCGGGGAAGGACCCACGACCAAGCATGACTATTTCGTTTGCTGTGGAGGCTTAGGGAAGGCAGTTGCCCGCTGCAGCGTGGTGAGTGACGCGGAGCTCAGTCCGCGCAGGCTTCTGGATCCCCAGTTTCATCCCTCGCCTGCCTCCCTGAAAGCCCTTTGCTGCCGCAAGCGCCCCCCTTTCCCTCGAGACCCAGTCTTTGGCCCCGGCCCTCGGGGTTTGGGATCAAGCTTTAGACATAGCCCAGAGGGGCTCTCCGAGCGGTCGAGGAGGGCGATGCGGCCAGGGCGGCTGAGCTCCTCTCCGCAGGCTACGGAGCTTGGGCCGACGCTGCGGAAGCCGAGCTCGCCCCTCTGCTTGACGCTGACTTGGTTAAGATTGGGGCCAGGAGTTCAGGCCTTCAGTTTATGTGGAAATCAGTTGTGGGGTGGGTGGGTGGGGTGGGTGGGGTGCGGGTGGGTGGCGGGGTGAGTGTGGGGTGTGGGGTGGGGTGGTGGTGGGGGGGGGGGGGGGGGCAAGGTGTCCAACCCGCCGGGCCATGCCCTGGCTGGGGGCCCAATTTCGCAGCTGGGATGTTCCGCAGCGGGACAGCCGAGGCTTTGGTCGGCCGGCGCAGGCGATCCACTCCTCCTTCATGCGCTGGCCTGCCTCCATCGCTGCGCGCGTGGGCGAGTTTCGAGACAGTCCCCACCCCATCAAGCGCTTCGCGCAGGAGCGCGGCCCTCAGCAGCGGTCTGCTGGCCAGATCGCTCTTGGCGAGGCGCAGCTGGCTGCTCTTGGGGAAGCTGTCTCCAAGGCTGACTCTGTGTAGCAGTCTCGGTCGAATGCCGACTGGAAGGCTTGGCTGGCCGCTGGTC